TCTTATCACTGGCATTGAGTAATGCTTTCCTATGGGCGGTTTGAATGCGTGCACTGCAGTTGCCGCGCAGGCGCATTCGGCAATGATGTCAGTAGGAGGAGTGTTCACCATCACCGAGGGAGCGCGGTGCTGGAGAAAGAAAAGTGCCTGAAGGGGTTTTAACCCCGAGTGCCCTGCTGGAGTGGGACCCTGAGGGTGGGGTGGACCTAATGGCCCTATATTGACAAGAAAACCTTTTTTTTTTAAAAACACTATTGTGGTCCTCTAACTGTTATCATTTATTCAATACCGACTAGGATTCATACAAATGTTATTGTGTTTATGAAGATCTAATACATATTAAAAAAAAAACTACTACATATATTTATAGCTGTCAGAATATTTTGAGGACCGTCATCGACATGCAGTTGATCCAGATATTTTAAATAGTATAGACTGGGATCCACCTGCACAGCAAGTGATTAATGACGAAAATACGCAAGCTTCACCAACAAGAGTAGGAACATCGGAATGGTGTCTGTGTGGCAATTGTATGCCAATGCAAAGTGAGGAAGAAAGTCTATGCTGCAGGGAGATAGAGAACATTGTCGATATGTTGAATGAACAACAGAATTGCATTTGCAATCTTCCATATCTACGTGAGCAATTATCTTCACGGGAACACGTGCTGTCTCTATACCGTTATGGTCTCAGCTATGTAAAATCCGCTAGATTCCGTTCTCCGGAACAAATGCAGGAAAGGTGAGTGTATCATAAATCTAAATACAGCGCATTGTTCTTTAAAACGGTCATGGATTTAAAAAAAAATGAAGCAAAATTAATCTCTAAAGGAGCACCATAGTGACACAATAAAAACCTTGTTTTGCTGGCACTATATAGTGGTTAAGTCACCCCCCAACCTCTGGTGAACAAGGGGCTAAAACATCGTCAGCCACTAGCCTTTGTCCAGTGTTGTGCTCCCCCGGTGATGGTGACCTCTCCTCCTCCTGCCAATGTCCGCTACCAATGCACATGCGTGTCTATAGCGTTGCGCATTCGGTAAACAGCCTATAGGAAAGAATTACTCCATGCTTGCCATTTGAACGTCCAGCGTCTTCTCAGTCAGTTAGAATTGTGTAAGCTCCTCTTGCGAATGTCTGTGAGACAGCCTCTAGAGGCTGGATTAACCCTCAGTGAAACACAGCAGTTTCTATGAAACTATGTTTACACCGAAATGGGTTAAAAATAGTGGGACCTGGCACACAGACCACTCCAAGTCAATGAAGTTGTCAGGGTGCCTGGTCCCTCTAGTTTTAACCCTGCCGCTCCAAACATAGTGTAGGAGAAACTGCTAGCTTTCAATGAGGTTTAATCCAGCCTCTAGTGGCTGTCTCACTGACAGTCGCTGTTTCCTCAATTCTCACAACGCTGGATGTCCATAGGAAAACATGGAGTAATGCGGACTCTGGCAGAAGGAGGAGAGGTCGCCAGCACAGAATGAGCTCGGTGCTGGAGAAAGTCAAGTGTCTGAAGGTGTTTTAACCCCTTCAGCGCATCATGAGGGGGGGCACTGAGGCTGTGTGGGGGGGGGACACTAATGACCCTATAGTGCCAAGAAAACAAGATTTTTTTTCCTGTCACTATAGTGCTCTTTTGTTTTTAGTATTCAAATACTACAATTGTTTATGTTTAGTTTTAATTACTTTCTATAGTTTTTGATGCTAAATTTTATATTCATAATTTAATATTTTTTTATTCTATACTCCATTGACACTCATTTTTTGTTTGGTTATTTATATGCAATGTTAAATGTTTCCTTTTTTTTTTTGTTCACAGTGACTACCGAAAAACTGCCTACAGGTCCTTCACAATGTGGGTGTACGGATACCTGGGACCCAAAAGGCGGCGTCCGATACCCTCGTGCACAGTAAAACTGATTAGGTCACACTTTCCTGCACCAGATGCGATATACATGGGTTTTAGATATGCGGATGATGACCCTATAGCTGTTGAACTTGTATAGTAGACAGTACGAAGCCTTGCAATTGTTTTAGTTTATCAAAATGTGTTAACTATTCAACATTGTCTGTTTGTTGTATATAATGTTAAAAAAATTTAATATGTTAATTTATTTTTATTGTACAATGTAAACTGTTATAAAAATGTTTATTTCTTATATTAATATATTAAAAAATGATAAAAAATATTGCATTTTTTATTATTTTAATGATACTTTCATCTACTAATTTTATTTTATTAAAAAAATAACACAAACAGTTATATATATATATATAATGTTTTTTTCAAATACTAAAAGTAATTTTACTTCAGTGTGATGGGTAAAATTATTTGTCCTTTAAACCAGCTATCACTAATTTCAATAGGGTGTCTACATGAACATAATTATTGAATAAAGTACAAAAATTGTGAAGTAATAAACATTTATTAACAACATTGAAAAAAAAATTTACAACAATAATTTAATGTAATAAATAACAAAATTTTAAAAATAAAATTTGGAACACAAGTTAACTTTTTTTTTAAAAGCATCCACATCGCTAAATTAACTTTATTGTTACATTACATGGTTTGAAAATACAAATAATATTTTATTTTTTTTATTAAGTAAAACATTATTCGACAATATCAACTTTGAATTTTCAAAAATATGACAATAATAAATATTTTAAATTAAATAAAATAGTAAATTACAGGCACAATAATAACTTAATGTGCATATAGTTGTTATGGTTCCTGTAATGTAACATGTTAAAACAAAAACAAATAGTAAGTAAGTGCAACGTCCTGGTTTTGTATAAGAAATTATACAAACTGAACCAAAAATCAAAATTATTTTAAGAAATTAAAATTTGTTCTTCGAATACAAATTACAACTAAATTGCACTATAAACAAGTATTTAGCACCATTAACAGAAATGTCATTTTTATCACCAGTCCAAAAATTTCTTACACAAATTATACATTTTTGAACATTTTAAAGTCTTCTTGGGCGTAAACGCGAAAAGTGACGGTCAACCATTACCTCCTTTGGTGGGCGAGGTGTTGAAGCAATGTTTATTGGAAGTTGCCCTGTTTGAGACTGCCAATTAACTTGTAAGTCACCTGAGGCTATTCGTAGTACGTCAGCCATCATTGGATATATATGGGCAATAGTGGTTTTTTCATATATTTACTTAATTTTCCAATTTTTACTCCTTTTAGAGAAAAACGGTTTGAACCTCAAGTCCCCAATGTGTCCAGTGCCTGCTTGTTCTTTCTGTATAGTGGCCTGTTCTCTGCCTACATTGGCGTTGTGGGCCAAAACAGCCAGTTGTGTCCTGGCTACCATCCCATCCATCGTGAAATGTACTCTTTTGGGACGGTATTTTAATACCAGGCTATGAAAGACTTCAAGTGATCCCGTGTGGCAAAAATGAACCAAATGTGGAAAGTCTTTCTCTAATTTTGAATCTGTGACAAAGCTTCGAAGTTTGGAGTATGCCACTCCATTTTTTTTCAACCAGGATTTCTGTTCAAGAGTTTGATCATATTCCGCATGTTGACATTTTTTGAAAAGTGTTGCAGAGTCCCATTCATGTTCGTTTATAATGTGATGCATTACCGACAGCCATTTCTCTTTTAACAAAATTGGATTTCCTTTGCTGTATGAACAAGCTGCCCACATGTGATTTATTATCGAATTTTGCCACGGAACCAATTCCTTGTACATCGCTTGGCGACATATGGTTGATAGTTTTAACCGAATGCTCCGACAATAGTGCCATATATCGAATTGGTGATTAATGGCTTTGTATCTCTCTCTCATGATTTTCCTTATGCTTACATGACGATCGGTAACGAGAATTGAAATTAGAATTTTGTCGGCTAGTACTTGGTCCATGCAACTTTTGAATGCCAGTGATTCCATAGCAACAGATGATTTTGCGTCACTCACTTGAATTGTTTGACATTCTATTATTTTTTGCGATTTTTCCTCCAAAAGTGAATACGTGCAGTACTTGGCATTAAATCCAGGGCTGTCACATTGCCCATCTCCTGACAGACATACCATTTTTCCACGTAATCCATCTATCAATAATCTTCTTTCTTTCTTATAATGATGATCGATTATTGGAAATAAAATTGTTTTTGATATATGTAATGTATGGATTGTGAAATAAACGGCACTCCAAAAATTGCAAAAAGTTCCGCAACTTTAGCAAAGTGCGAACCACTGAACAAAATTGATGCACTTGCTAATAAATTTCCACAAGAACGGTTCCCAATCATAGGCTGGCTGCTCCAAAATTCGCAACGATGATTTGATTCACATACAGTGTATACTTTTAACAGAGTGCCTGATATAATTTTTTCAGTGTTTGTTATTGGAGCGTTACATGGTTCGTGAAAAGTACATGTTTGAACCTTTTTGATCAATAAATCGAGAGAAGTTTCAAACACAATAAACTTCTTTTCTGAAACATAATCCTCAGGAGAGGGCTCTGTTAAAAATGTTAGATCGCCAATATCGGTTGTTTCTTCTTCGGGACTGTAAATCGGGTCATTGAATTCTGAAACATTCAGAGTTGCATCCATTTCCGATACTCTTGTAATTGAAGAAATGTTTGAGAATGGCGTATCTATGTTTTCTACAGGAACGGACTGTTGTGAATTTGGGGATAACAGTAGTTCTGTCTCCATTGGCATTGCACCTGGCATAGTGCAAACCTTTTTTATAGTATCTGTTTGCTGTACAATTGCAGCGTTTGGTGAATTGTCAATGGATCCTGCAAATTCTTCTGTAGGACCAGTCCAAGTCCAGACATCCTTTGTTGGATTCAAACCAATTATATTGGTGGATACATCACTTGTTTGAATTACACTGTGGGTTTGTGTAGACCTGCTCCGCCTTCCGTAGTATTTTGAAGTTGATACACCTTTGGCAATCATTGTTAAATTTGTAATGTTGGTAGCTATGTTCATAAATGATTTATCAAAAGCCAGTTTGTAATGGAAACCTGCTATATACTCGTGATCGTAAATAGATGTCTCAGACTGAGCTCCGAGGTCCTCTGACGGAGCTCCGAGGTCCTCTGACGGAGCTCCGAGGTCCTCTGACGGAGCACCGAGGTCCTCTGACGGAGCACCGAGGTCTCTGACGGAGCACCGAGGTCTTCTGACGGAGCACCGAGGTCTTCTGACGGAGCACCGAGGTCCTCTGACGGAGCACTGTGTCCCTCTGTTGAAGCACTGCGGTCCGCTGACGGAGCACTGAGGTCTAACATTTCTATATCACTACTGTTTTCTGCTCTCCTTAAAGTCATATCGTGTAAAGTTTGTAAAACTTTAGCTTTTACAAAAATAGTTGGTTTTGCCATTAAAACCAATCGTGTTCTCCTTTCAGACTTCACTATCATATCTGATGTGAAATGGTCCGAACAAATTTTGAAAATCTCACTTTTTTGTTTTTCCATGATTAATTGAATTGAGCCATCTAGGTTGACAAATTCGTCACCTGTGGCTAAAAGAAAGAGCAATCTGGTGAATGTTTAGTGTGACTGTTTCTGCAGCCTACAACTAAACACTTTGGCATTTTGTCTATGTTTTTAAAACAATAAAAGGGATGACAAAAGAAAATAAGAATAACATGTAGTGTGATTGTTGGCGCCAACACTTCTCTTAAATAATACTGAAATTTTTTTGACATTGTTAATTTTGACAATTACAACTATAATAATTTTATTAAATTTAGTAAACTCAAAAATGGACGACGAACACATAAATAAACAGGCACTGAAGACTACATATACGATTCACAAAAAAAAATATCACTTGTGTTCTAAATATTTGCACACATTCATGTATTATTATTCGACTGTTAAGAATTACTCTTTAACTTCCCTGCTGTCGCGCCAACGTGTTGGAGGTGCCAGGAGGACAACGGGACTCTATTACACATCTGGTGGGAATGCAGACTTATCGCACCATTTTGGAATCGACTCAAATCAGATGTTCTCCTAATCCTTGGGAACGACACTGAATGGTCACAAGAACTGGCCTTACTGCACATCTCCTCACAACCACTATCCGCATACAAAAAATCTGTACTGCGCCATCTACTGAACGCTGCCAAATCACTCATTCCAGTATACTGGAAGAATACAGACATCCCCACAAGAGAAGAGTGGATTCACAGGGTCGAAGACATTAGAGCGGCAGAGGCACTACAGGCAGAATTGACGGGCAGAGAGGCAAAATATGCGAACATCTGGGAACCGTGTCTCACCTTCCGTGCGCAACAATAGGGGGGCGCTGGCGGGGAGAGCTGGGGGCCGGGGGACGGCGCAGCCCTCTCGACAGACCCACTACATACATTATGACCTGCGGCCGCCAATGCCACTCCTGTTGACAGACACTACGCCTCATGTACCATCCACACCACTCCGACTGGACGAGACACTACAAAGGATGACCTGAGCCAACAAAAACGCCCCTAAGCGGCCCACATAAATACACACAATTAACTGGCTAGTCGACACTCACATATCGCCCCTAACTAGACAGCACGACACAGCGACGGACTATGAGCCCTCACAGGCAAAGACAGCGGTCTCCGGACCTCCACCGTCCCCACGGAGGGGAAGAGACAAAATGAGACAGACCTAACACTGCACGATATCCACACCCAATCAGATGATAGACGTCAGACGCATCAACCTGACCCCCACGGGAACCCTGATTATACACCATACGACAAAACAGGCTGACTGGGACCTGACCGGACAGATGAACCATCCGAGGGACTGGGTGTTGCAGAGCACAACGACCCTCACATGTAGAGACCCCTCGCCCTCAACCCCCCTTACTTATGACGACGATATACCTTCACACTCACGGGGCATCACGGCCAACTTGTACCTCATACCTCCGTCAACACAAGACACCTGATACGACACTTCCAACGCACGCCTATTGCGACATGCACAACCCGATCATACAAGCTAGGCATGGAACACGACACGGTCAGGCAACAGGTCGACCAAGTCTGGGGAAACCTCATGACACAGCTGGGCTCTCCCGCAATGACCCTCCTGCACCAAATGCGGGCAGTTGAGGGAAGAATGAGAACACCTCGATTAAACATTCACATTGTTGGAGGGACTCTCCCATGCTATCGTGTCCTCTTCTCGAACCAACACCATCCTCTTCCCATCCCACCTACAATAATTGTGTAATGCCACATACCTTTATTGCCAACACTCAACAACGCCCTACCTGTGGGCTAAGACACACCCTAATCCAATACATCACACCCCACTTCCACACTTCTCGATGAGAAGACTTGACACACGAACCATTAGTATTCACACGGCTATAAAACGCCGATACATACCAATTACCCCGCACCGCCCTAGCCCTCAGGGGACTGATCTGAATAACTATGATTATCACGAGCTCTAGCTAAGTACCCCTGGGAGAGGGACACGGTAACGACTACTATTAACGATCTCATGTTACCTAATATTGCAACTGTAATAGATTCTAACCACACATATTTATACTGTTTGGATATCTGATGCTTTTATTATGTAACCTTGTATTCTACTATTAATGCGGGCCTGCGTGCCCAACTTTATTTACTGACTGGCTTCAATAAAAACTGATTAACAAAAAAAGAATTACTCTTTAAAACTGAAAACTTAATACAACACCCCCCCTAAAATAAAAAAATTAAAAAAAAATATTAAATATATCTTTAAAAAATTAAAATATGTTAGTTTAATTTATTGGAGATTGTGTTATGTTAATCTTTGCAAATTAAAGGACCACTCTAGGCACCCAGACCACTTCAGCTTAATGAAGTGGTCTGGGTGCCAGTTCCTTCTAGGGTTATCCCAATTTTTTAATAAACATAGCATTTTCATAGAAACTGCTATGTTTGTGAATGGGTTAAGCCTTACCCTATTTCCTCTAGCGGCTGTCTCATTGACAGCCGCTAGAGGCGCTTGCGTGTTTCTCACTGTGATTTTCACAGTGAGAGCACGCCAGCGTCCATAGGAAAGCATTATGAATGCTTTCCTATGTGACCGGCTGAATGCGCGCGCAGCTCTTGCCGCGCGTGCGCATCAAGACAACGGGGATGAGAAGAGGAGGATGGGAGGAGGAGAGCTCCCGCCCAGCGCTGGAAAAAGGTACGTTTTAAACAGTTTCCCCTTTCAAGAGCCGGGCGGGAGGTGGACCCTGACATTTACATTTACAAGTAAAGTAAATAGCAATTAGATGACGTTAGACATTCTCACAGATTTTAACGTCAGATAAGTTAACTATAGGAATGCAATCAGAAATTCTTCACTATGGTAGAGGTTTAAAGGACCACTATAGTGCGAGGAAAACATACTCTTTTTCCTTGCACTATAGTGCCAGGAGGGTGCACCGACCATCAGGGTCCCCCTCCTGCCGGGCTATAGGGTCAGGAAGGGGTTAAACTTACCTCTTTATCCAGCACCGGGCGTGAAGCTCTCCTCCTCCTTTTCCCTTCCTACTTCTTCTATTCGTCTTTGGCTGAATTTTTCAGCCACTCCATAAAAAACCATTCACAATCCTTTCCTATGGACGCTGGCGTCACGTAAGCGCCACTAGCGGCTGTCAAGAGACAGCCAATGGAGGATGGATTAATCCATTTATAAACATAGCATTTTATCTGAAACTGCTATTTTAATTAAAAAATTGGTTAACCCTAGATGGACCTGGCACCCAGACCACTTCATTAAGCTGAAGTGGCCTGGGTGCCTAGAGTGCTCATGTAACGCGAATAGCCATAGCTTACCGATATTCAATACATTTACGATTTCTAAATTCTAAATATAAACAATTTTAAAAAGGAAAATGCACAAAATATACATGACACATGTACTAGATGCAGTGTGTTTATACAGGGGAGTTGTGTGTATTTGTGTAGTGTGTATATAATGAATGCATAGCGTGTGTGTGGTGTGTGTGTTTCGGGAGGTATGTAATTAAAGGACCACTCTAGGCACCCAGACCACTTCAGCTTAATAAAGTGGTCTGGGTGCCAGGTCCAGCTAGGGTTAACCCTTTTTTTCATAATTATAGCAGTTTCAGAGAAACTGCTATAATTATGAATGGGTTAAGCCTTCCCCCTAATCCTTTAGTGGCTGTCTCATTGACAGCCACTAGAGGCGCTTGCGTGCTTCTCACTGTGATTTTCACAGTGAGAGCACGCAAGCGTCCATAGGAAAGCATTGTAAATGCTTTCCTATGCGACGGGCTGAATGCGCGCGCAGCTCTTGCTGCGCGTGCGCATTCAGCCAGCGGGGCGGATCGGAGGCGGAGAGGAGGAGGAGAGCTCCCTGCCCAGCGCTGGAAAAAGGTAAGTTTTGACCCCTTTCCCCTTTCCAGAGCCGGGCGGGAGGGGGTCCCTGAGGGTGGGGGCACCCTCAGGGCACTATAGTGCCAGGAAAACGAGTATGTTTTCCTGGCACTATAGTGGTCCTTTAAAGGTTTCATTCAGTAAAAATTTTCAATAAACGTTACCACTCCAAAAAATTGCCTACCTTGATCAAAGTCACGCACAATGCTGATTCTGATGACGCAAGTCAATTCTCTGAAAATAAAAACAAAACAATATTATTTTTAAAAGAAATTAAAATTCATGTTTAAGATTAGTTGGATACATAAACATGATTTTGACTGTGTGCCAGCAGGCGAAAAATGCAGCCCCAAGAAAGGAAAAGTATAAATCCTGGGCAGCACTTTTCACGTGCTGAGCAACAGTGAAACTGTGGCAATATGGAGAAATGTATTTCTTCAACACAGCCATTTTATGTATGCCCTCCAGGAAAGCACAGGTGAAGAGCCTGTCTGCCTTGCATGCGCTGAAGCGCAAGATGAAGGACAGACCTTTTCCTGCGCTCCAAGGATGGCATACTAAAATGGTACATAACGATTGAATACACAATTCAACACTCCCTAACGGGTGGTAAAAAAAAATTGAAAGAAAGAAAGAAAGATAGCAAGAAAAAAAGTGAGTCTGACTGTGTGCCAGCAGGCAAAAAATGCAGCCCCAAGAAAGGAAAAGTAAAAATCCTGGGCAGCACTTTTCACGTGCTGAGCAACAGTGAAACTGTGGCAATATAGAGAAATGTATTTCAGCACCAGAACCTTTTGCATAGATATCTCTTTATCCGATATGTATAAGCATACAATAAGACAAAGAGAGCCAGGCAAACTTTACCCAAAAATATAGACAAATTAAAACTTACCGTAACCACTTTGAATTTTTCACAAATTCAAATTGCGCTTTGAACGATTCGTAAATCTGCGTTCTGAAATTGAAAAGAAGAACAATATTATTTTAAAAATTAATTTGTTGTAATTTCTATATATAAAAAAAATATATATATATACACACACACAATTCTAAGTGTATATATATATATATATATATATATATATATATATTAGTATATATATATATATATACACATACATACATACATACACACATATAAATATATATATATACACATACACACGACTGTATGTATGTCTGCAATGTATTGTTTTTGGTGCGACATATGTAAAATAATAAACGAAAACAATGTATGCAGACATACAACTACATATACTAATAAAATCAATAAATACATTGAAAATATCTCCTAAAATATTTTTAAAAATACATATATTAAAAAATACATATATAAATTTTATTAAAAAAAATACATATATTAAAAAAGAAATATATAAAAAAATACATATATTAAAAAATACATATATAAACAAATACATATATACACACATAAAAACAAATATATATAAAATTAAATAGCAAACTGTAAACAAAAATAAAAGTTAAAATAGTAAAATAGATTACATGTCATATGTAAACAAATCTAGATTTTTTAAAATAATACAAACAGATAAAGTTAAGATTAAACAAATGACTAACTAAAATTAAAAAATAAAAACAATACAAAGACATTACATTAATAATAAAATACAAATAGGATAAAAGTTTACTTACAGTCAATGTGCAGCCAGATTCCGTTAGGGGAGATGCTGCTTCTTCTTCTGTACTCCGTCTTCAGTGAGAGATTCTCTCTCACACACTGGCCTCCGAGGAATAAAACTGAGATGTGAACGCGCTCGGCGCGTTCACATCTCAGCATAGTCTCTAATGCAGGCGCGCTCACATCTGAGCTGCCTGCATTAGAGGGAATGACGTTAGACGTCCAAGAGGACGTCTGACGTCAGCTCACTGTGATTCTAACAGTGAGGATTCAGGAAGCACCATCTAGTGGCTGTCTCAGAGACAGCCACTGTAGGTGGGAATAGGGAAAAAAAAATACACTGCTTTTTCTCTGAAACGGCAGTGTATTTAAAAAAAACAAAAAAACTAGAGGTACCTGGCACCAAGACAACTTCATTGAAATGAAGTTGTCTTGGTGCCTAGAGTGGTCCTTTAAGATCCATGTTTGTAGTGATTTAATGCATCATATATGGACT